ACTCGTTTATTAATTCAATTAAAATAATTCATCAACAGTAGATACAGCTTCTTTATTAATTTATTTGATTTACATCTTAAATTGAACTGAATGTTGGATGGTTCTGACTAGTAATTAAATAATGAAATGCACTGGTTGGGCCCGCTCAAACTCAGAAGCTCACAAAGATGAAATGAATAATTATACCACAAAAAATATAATTATTTTATTTTCTGTTTCAAGATTTGAGTTAATAATAAATAATCAAAGTAATCCCACCAGGCAAGATATAATTGATAAAATAGCAGGAGTGGATGCATTGTTTTGGTACAGTTATGAGCGACTTGATGACGAAATACTTGACGCTGCAGGTTCGTAATTGTATTTAAATTATGGTTTTTTAAATTAAAACGTTTGTCAAATTTATTATAGGCAGTCGATTAAAAGTGGTAGCTACCATGACAGCAGGACTAAACCATATTGACATAGATGCTTTCAAAAGAAGAAAAATCCCTTTAGCATATACACCAACCGTTTTAAATAAAGCAGTAGCGGATGTTGCCGTTCTTTTGGCCTTAGCTGCTTCTAGAAGGCTTCGTGAAAGTAGAATTCACATAGAAAAGTAAGTAACGTAAAAAAATATTCCTATTCCAATATGTGTTGTATGTACCTAAAAAACTTTTTGTATTTCGTAAACTTTCAGAGGTTTATGGAGTGGATTTGGGGTGCAGTATTTGTTAGGGACCGACATAGAAAATTCAACAGTTGGAATAGTTGGCTTCGGGGGTATTGGGCAAACTGTAGCCAAAAGGTTAAAAGCATTTGAGGTTGCAAGAATTTTATACAGTGGCCATCGAGAAAAACCGGAAGGTACTTCTACATAAATAAATCAATGATTTATTTTCCTAATTTTTGATAAAACTATGCGCTGATTATCTACAGGAAAACAACTGGGAGCTGAATTTGTGCCACTTGATACACTTCTTCGTGAAAGTGATTTCGTAATTGTGTCGGCACCTTTAACTGATGAAACCAAAAATATGTTTAACGATTCCACTTTCGCAAAAATGAAACCAACAGCTGTGTTCGTTAATATTGCTCGGGGAGCCATAGTAGATCAAGATGCTCTTATCAGAGCGCTCAAAAATGGTACCATTTTTGCAGCAGGTCTAGACGTGATGGAACCGGAACCTTTACCGATTGACCATGAACTGTTAGAACTTCCAAACTGTGGTAACTTTTCTAGTTCATTTAATTCTAATAGTTACAGAATTTAATAAGAAGCATAAGAAAGTTGTTGAAGAAGTTAATCTTGGGAATTCTTCCATTACTAACATTTTTTTTATATATTTTAGTTCTCATGCCACACATAGGGTGTGCTACATTCAAGACTGTAGCTGCAGTTGCAGAATTAACCGCCAGGAATATCATTTTAGGATACGAAAATAAACCTTTGCTAACACCCGTTTATTAAACTGTAATTGATAACATTGTGTGTATATGTGTGCTTGTGATGATTATTATCATAAAGTTGCAACAGGAGAAGACAATACTAACGAAGTGACATGTATTTCGGGAGTGTTGTCTTGTTCTACCGTCGATAAATTTATAATCCTAAGATTTGCACATATGTATATAGAGATAAGTAACTACTGCATGTGTAAATAGCCACATCTTAAATGTAAATATGAAATAAAGGCCATTCTAACGAAATATTACTTAACATTTATTATCCACTTTGAACTTGAACAAAAAAAATATTAAATAAAATGCAAAAATAGGTGTCGTTTACAAGTGCACCGCATTCTTTTGGATTATTAAAAGATTACAGTGGATAAATGCGCACTACGATGAGGAAATTACCTTGGCTAGTTAGTAATTATATTACTTATCGTTAAGTACAAAAGATACTTACGTGTTGAATTGCGCGAATTGAAGAAATAACAAAATTAAGCTTTTATAGTGTAACACATTTGATTGCGTTAAAAATGCAGAAGATTACGTCTTCTTGGAGTAGTTTTAGAACGCAGGCTCAATACTTTTCTCTTATTCTAGGTAGTTCAATAACTAATATTAGTTCAATTAGTAACAAAAAGAGTAAACCAAAAGTGTTTGTAAATAATTTTGATGTTCCAACAACGGCTTTGGACATTCTTAGAGAAAAGTAAGTATCATTTTCGTAAACTATTCGAAGTAGTAGATACTAAAATGTTTAATGTCAACTCTTAATAACATACTGAACCTATTTTGATAAGTTTTGTTATTTCGTGTTATCAATAGCTGAAACTAGTATTAATACATAGTTATTATATCAGAATTTATATTCAATGCACTGCCCTGGTCAGATTAGTGAATGTGCAGTTAGCTTTTTAAAACTTTCACAGTGCTGTTAACTTACGTACTTCATATCATAAGACAACACGAACGAAAGTTAATCTTTTCATGCGTATGCCCTTCCTTCCATATGACCGTCAGAAAGGCACTTTCCCTCTATACTGCATTATTTCAATTTATAGGTCTAATGCGCTTTGAAAGCTAATTTCAAAGAGGGTGTCGTCAAATGCACTCTAAATTCTTCCTAACATTTCATTATTCTCGACGATTTATATTCTTCTCAAGAATTCCGGAACTCCTATTGTTAAGCAGTCGAACATGTGTCATTCAGAATGTGATTTATATTATTCTCAAGAATTCTAAAACTTCTATTGTTAGGCGGGTAAACATGTGTCACTGAGGATACGATTTATATTCTTTTCGAGAATCCCGGAAGTTTTATTGTTAAGCACGCAAACATGTGTCACTCAGGATATTATTTATATTCTTTTCGAGAATCCCGAAAGTTCTATTGTTATGCGGGCAAACATGTGCCACTCAGAACATGATTTATATTCTTTTCGAGAATCCGGGAAGTTCTGTTGTTAAGCAGGCAAACATGTGTCACTAAAGTTATGAGTTATATTCTTCTGGAGAATCCTGGATCTTCTACTGTTAAGCAGGCAAATATTTATCACGCAGGATATGATTTATATTCTTCTCGAGAATCCTGGATCTTCTACTGTTAAGTAGGCAAATATTTGTCACGCAGGATATGATTATCTAAAATTCCGGAACTTCTATTGCTAAACAGGCAAATATGTGTCACTCAGGGAATGAGACCCTTCGCGTACAAAGGTTGCCGATCACCATCGGTCGGCGGGAATACTCAAGACCTCAAGAGCCGTCAAGAATCAATGTATGATTATTACGTACGTTCTTATACAAAAAGTGGCCATTTTAATGGCAATTTTTTACTTATAGAGAGGGTGGTATCGCATATATTTTGAGCAAGAAAATTAATCAAAATAAAGAAGTCTTATCACATCAAGAATATCTTTGATTTATTACATCGTGACATATGGTATTCTCTTGTTAAAGGTTCGATGTAATTATTGCTGATCAAAAGCCTTTGGCTTCAAGAAGGCAAATTATAGATAAAATAAAAGGCGTAGACGCCATTTTTTGGTGTACTCCCCAACTACTCGACGAGGAAGCCCTAGAAATAGCAGGTCCGCACTAAAAATAATTTCTTGTATGAAAAAATAACATTTTGCATTATTTTATAGGACCACAATTATAAGTTGTGGGTTTAATGTCTGCGGGTTCAGATCATATTGACGTAACCACTTCAAAAAAGAGAAATATACCCGTAGCTTGTACATCGATAGTTGTAGATAATGCTGTAGCAGACGTTGCTGTTCTTTTAACTGTGGCGGCATCCAGAAGATTATACGAAGGAAGTACACACATTCAACAGTAGGTAAAATTAAGATAATTGTCATCCCTTGTTTAAAATTCTGTAGCCAAAAGTAAAATTGAAACCCATAAAATTTCCTAACCTACATATTTAAATGAAATTTTGCAAACGAAGAACTAGATTAATGATTTCATTTTATATGTAGGAGAAGAAATAGGCTAAGGGGAATGATTTTCTTAGCACAGCTCGGAGATCGGGGGTAACATAAGGAAGATCTTGATTTTCAAAAATGAATTAGAGGTTTACAACTTTTATTCTGTTGTAGATGCAATATGATAAACTAGTTTTGGTATTTGCTGTTTAAACACAGAGTCGAGTAATCCCATAAGCACAAGTATAATTAAAATTTTTTCTGGTCCCTGATGCCCCCTTTCATGTACATATGGTTGTCCTTTTATACAAGGTAGCCTATTGAGCGCGAAAAAAATAAATCATTAGGTATTATACAGCACATATCCTTCTTGAACAACAAAAAGTTATTAAACAAATCAAAGGTATTGATTAAGCAATAACTTCAATCGAAAAAAAATCATACATAGAAATACCATTGATATGTAAAAATGGGCGGAGTTTACAAGAGTATCACTGTTTTTTATTATCAAAAACTTGCATCGGATATCCATACGACTTTTAAATGACCTTCACTGATTACTTATCGTTAAGCGCAATAAGACACGAGTATACAATTGTTTGAATATAACAAATAATCAAATTACAATTACCTTCCTGTACTTGAAATATGGCATTAACGTACGTACGTATACAGATAAGGCATATTTTTCATCCAACACAGCAATTAAGCATTTATTTGTCAGCATTTTTTTATGTCACATGAGCGAAAATGCATAATTTGGTGAAGTTGTGGTAGTGGCGAACTTCTTCAGAGGTCCTTCCAGGTGGGCAGAGAGCGGGACTTTTCTGGATCAGTCAACCGTGGCATTAGGCTGATCCTGAGGATCGGGTTCCAGATTACTCTTCTCCTCCTTCTTGTTGAAGTTCTCTGGATGTTTTTAGGTATCTATGGTTCGTCTAACCATCCTGCTGTGATACCCTCTGATTGAAGTTAGCAATTATCAATTCTCAAAGGGTATTTTGTGTTCGCCATTGGTCAGTACGTGTTAGGCCACAGCTGACTTTTCAGTGTGTCCTAGATGGCAGCTTGCTTTATGCTTCTTGAGTCTTGTTCCCATCGATCTCTTAGTAGTTCCTATGTAGACGTATCCGCAGGAACAGTGTATGGGGTAGACTTCTGAGGCTGAAAAAGGGTCCATTTTTCCCTTAGCTGATCTAATGAACTGCTGGATCTTTTTCCTCACATAAAGTTTGACTGAACGAGCTAGAACCGGAAAATCTCCAGGCGGAACTAGCATCTCTATCTTCCAAAGGTCACGGACCAAATTGGCAGAAACCTGAAGTAACACATCAGAACCACCTTCAAACTTATGAGGAAAATCCAGCAGACCATTAGATCTGCTAAGGACAAAACGGACACTACTCTTTCAGCATCAGGAGTCTACCGCATTCCCTGTTCTTCCTGAGGAATGGATTACATAGGAACCACTAAGAGACTGATGAGAACGAAGCACAAGGCAAGTTGACTCGCACTGATCAACAGCGACCACAAAATACTCTTTGAGAACTGCAAATTGCTAGCTTCAGTCAGAGGGTATCACAGAGGAACCATCGAGATCCAAAAATATCCGGAGAACTTCCATAAGTTGGAGAAGAACTTCAGGCTCCACCTAATCTGCAACCGATCCTCAGGAAC